TAGCGTCCGGTTCCCGCCCGTCAGCGTGGGGGAATCAAGAGCGGTCAGATCAGGGCTAGGCTCATCCGGGTTGGGCTCTACCTCCGGCAGACCCCTGCTCACAGGGTCGAAGGTGCTGTCCTGCTCACGGAGGACGCGATAAATCTGCTCCTGCATCGTATATTGTCCGGCCTCGTACGATGAATAACTCTCAGTAGCCACTCGGCGTTGACCCTCATCGGAGACCAACCACTCCTCCACCAGCTCGGCCATGTGATCACGGGCATACGACATGGCTCTAGTCCTGAAATCCTCGGACGCCAAGAAGGTGGGCACAGCTCGGGAGAGCTCCCCACGTAGCCCCTCCACCTCGACCTGTCGCTCTCTACGTAGCCCCTCCACCTCGACCTGTCGCTCTCTACGTAACCTCTCCAGCTCAGTCTGGTGGGACCGCCTAGCGACCTCCATAGCATGGGTGAGCGCACCCACCCGCAATTGGGAGGCCTCATAAGCATTGGCAAGCAGTAGCCAACGCTGCACAGCCTGCAAACAGACAGAGTAAGGGAAACAATCTCGAGCCTATCGAATAGAAGTAGAACAAGGAATATTTTACCTCATAGGCGTAAGTAGCAGCATCCTCCACCTGGAAGGACGCCACACCAGGAGCGGTAGCAGCAACTACGGGCTGGAGCACAGCACGAGCGTGGGCGCGGTCCACGGAACTGCGCGCGGGACACACGCGCGGTGGGGCCGAAGGAGGAGGGAGAGGGGGGCGAGGAGCAATGAGAGGGGCCGGTGGGGCCACCTCGGGACCAGTACGCTGCCCAGAGGTGGGAGCCTGGGCGGCGCGGCTCGTACCTCCCCCCGCAGTCCTGCGTCTCTTGGACGCCCGAATCTCCTCCAGAAGCTGCACCCGGCGGGGCGGCATAGTACCTGCTCTACCTGTCAACAGTCGCACAAGTAAGGTTATATAAGGCGCATTTAAAAGTAAATCAAATGTGTACAAAGGAAGAAGATAAGCAGGGATTAATGAATATGGACCTCCGGGACGGCGTGTGTCGGCCTAAAACTTTAGGTACGGTTGGTTTGTGTTCTTAAAGTGCTTTGTTTCTGTGCTTAAGGTGCGTGGTTTGTGTACTTAAGGTGCGTCAACCGCACCGGAAGCTATACCCGCACCTGAACCCTTCCATTTTAGCAATCTGCACACATATTTCTTCAAATTAGGTTTTTGCTATCCTAAATCTGCAATCAAAATGTGAGATAATCAACTAGAAGGCCAGAAATCTTTAACTTATTGCGAAGTTTGTGATGAAGTTGAAGATGAACTTTTTTGGCCATCTAGTTGATTATCCCCATTTTGATTGTAGATTTAGGAGAGCAAAAACATAATTTGAAGAAATATGTGGCAGACTGCTGAAAAAATCACAGATTACTTTAAATTGGAGTGTAAAACCTAAATTTCTAATTTACCCTTCATTTCAACACCAACTTAACGCCAAAGCTAACGGATGACCATTTTGACTTAAAATTCAAAAATCAGAAAGTCATAGGACCACTTTGAGAAATTAAAAATCAAGGACCAATTTGAGAAAAGGCCATAGTCAAATGACCATTTTGGGAATTAACTCTATTTGAATTAACAAAGTAAACATTATTTTGGGTAGGTTAAAAAAAATTAGGAGAATAAAATTAAACGAAATGAGATGTGTAATTATTTTTTGCATTGTCACATTCTCAGGACCATTGCACCCTAATAGTGTTACAATTATTCAAATACCAATTGATTACAAATAATTACAACCCCTAAATAAACTAAAACGAAATACACCACAAATGATAACTAAAATATACTCTCTCTATCCTATTTCTTTTTTTTTTACTATACTATTCATTGATCAAAATATTTTTTTCTCAAACTTTTCAACAACTTTTTTATAAATTTCAAAATAAAAATTTATGTTTAATATAGAGTTTAAACACAAAATTGAATTTATATATTTAAATTCAAAGTATCAATTATAATCGGTGTGTAGTATAAAATGTGGGTACAAAATATACACGGAATGTCTTGAACACTACTCAAATGACTTAATTTTCAAAGAAGATTTTGTAATCTTGTATGTAGTTGCTTGATCTTCGAAGAATGACTTGTATGTAGTTTGTTAAATACGGAGTATTCTCCAAGGACCTCTCATATTTATAGTGGTGAGAATATATAGGAGGGCAGACAAGATGGTAGAGGAATAAATGTATCACGATGACTCAACGGTCTCTTATAGCTCCCCGTGTTTGGTGCCCACCACATTGGGTGTAATTAGCTCCCCATGGTGGCTGTCAAGACTCGATCTTATTGTGTTATTGCTCACAATCTATCACCTGAAGACCAACTAAGCTACTTGTGTATGCATTCTGCAATGATAATACTTTAAATTAGAATATATGTAATTACATTGTAATAGAGTCAGTAACATTAAAAAAAAAAAAATTAGGATATATAATTGACTAAATCTTTATCAAATAGTTACATTAAATAGGCAAATAACATAGCCTAAACTAATTCAATTAATTGATATGTAAGCTCAAATATCTCAATTAAGATGCTGCCAAATATTATTTGCTCATTTAGTGTTGTCAAATTTCCAAGTCTACATATAAAACTTTAATTTTAATATAGTTTTTAAATATATAACTTTATTCATAAAATAAAATAAATTATAAATCATTTAAAGGAAATATAATTATCCTTATTATACAACCATTTTAAGAGTGTAACACAATTGGAAACTTATCATAGGTTATTGGCACCTCACAAATACAATATACCCTAAGAATGTAGGAATTGAATTCACACTGACAATGACCAGATCCAGATGGGATGAGTCGGTTAGGATACATTTTTGTTTAGAGAAAGTGTTTTCTTACAAGAACAATACTTATGTTATGGATTCGGATCCACCTTACAAAATAAATTCGAGTCAAATATATAATTTATATACTAAATGTTCACAATTCAAATTATGAACATTCAGTATGTAAATTGTGAATATTTAGTATATAAAATTGTGAACATTCAGTATATACAAATTGTGAACATTCATTATATAAAAATTGTGAATTTTTAGATCCGGATCCACTGAATAATTTGTCTTGCAAGCATTTAATGTATATCATCATCATCACATATTTTTGTTTTCTTTTATTATGCATACGTTTTGGTTGGTCACAAAGGTGGCACTGCATTGCTAGCTCATCATTTTTCTTTTTAAATTTCTATGTAAAGGAGTCAATATTGACAGATATGATCGCAGTTCAGTTTTGTTTTGAACCGCTTATTTGAACTAGGGATGGCAATGTGCTCCGTCCCCTTGGGGATCCCCGTCCCGTAGGAGATGGGGACGGGAAAAAATTTTGGGAATCGGGGACGGGGATGGGGAGTTTTTGAAATTCCCCGCGAGGACGGGGACGGGAACGGGGATACCCTCCGCCCCGCCCGTCCCCGATTAATTATTATAATTAAAAATAATAATAATAAATTAATTTATATATATATACATATATATATATATATATATATATATATATATATATATATATTATAAGATACATTCTTTGCAATTAGCATTGTAATTAAGGCTTAATTATCAAGTAACATTCAGTGAAAAGATTCTTGGTATTGTTTTCTATCTACAATATTGACACTGTACTGTACTGCCGTGGCAGTACAGTATCAATACTTTAATATATATATATATATATATATATATATATATATATATATATATATATATATATATATATATATATATATGATGGATATATTATACCACGACCCGACCCGGGTAGCAACATGGACCCGGAGCACCTTGGTGGAACCTAAGAGCAGCACGGACCGGGGGACCACGGAGGTGCCCAAGAGCAGCACGGACCCGGGGGACCACGGAGGTGCCAGAGCAACACGGACCCGGGGACCACGGGGGTGCCCAAGAGCAACGCGGACCCGGAGCACCATGGAGGTGCCCCGACCCGAGCCGACCTACGTGGAGCTCGGGTCGGGGAGCTCGGTCCTACTCGGGCTCGGGACCGACCCGACCCGGTCCACCCGGGCCGGGTCAAACTTGAGATCTAACCACCCCCGATTTAAGGGGAGGTGGTTGGGGGGTTTGCTTGTATAAAAACCCCCCTCCATGTCCTAACAAGGGGGCAATTCAATCCACATTATACGATTATTACACACTTTTGTCCTACGGAATCTTTGTAATAGCCAAATACTACGGCAATTAATATAATATACGGTCCACCGCGACCTTTACGACATCGTTCTATATATTTCGTTCATTATTTATTCTTATTATATTCTTATCCGGATTTATTGATTCGGGCAGACCCTCGGGTTAATTAAATCCATCATTGGTGCTCTTGTTGAGAGCTAAACTCAAGACCTCCGCTTACCAAACGGGGTGCTCTAACCAACTGAGCTGACATGTTATCCAAGCTCGCCCAAGGGGCCCCGGAACATATCTCCAAGATAGCCCGAATTGAAGATTTCAAGAGGTCGAGCCTGGATGCCTACCCGGTCCTACCCGTGCAAATCCGACCTCCCTGCTGGTTGGACCACCTCAAGGAGTACAAGAAGACAGACACACTACCTCCCGACGAGGTCGACGCCAAGCTGGTGAAACGGCGAGCCCCACGTACGTGGTCATGGGGGACATACTCTACAAGAGGTCCTATAACGGCGCCTTGCTGCGCTGCTTGTACCTAGACGAAGCCAGGTCAGTCATGGAAGAAATCCACGAAGGGACCTGTTCAGCCCACCAGGGGGCCTTCGCCATGTCCCAGAAGGCCATCTTACAGGGGTACTTTTGGCCCAAAATGGCCAAGGAGTGCGCCGACTATGCCCGGGGTTGCGAGACCTGCCAACACTTCCAAGTCACCCCCGGCGGCCAGCCACGAGCTATACCCCCATCAGCTCGGTCATCCCCTTCTCCAGGTGGGGAGTGGACCTAGTGGGAGCTCTGCCCATGGGGTCGGGAAAAAGGAAGTACCTCATAGTAGCAGTGGACTACTTCACCAAGTGGGTAGAGGCGGAACCCGCTGGCAACCATAACAAGTGCCCGTTGCAAGCACTTTGTGTACAAAAATATTTTGTGCCGTTTTGGGGTCCCGATGCAACTCATCACCGACAACGGACGCCAATTCGAGGGGCAAGAGTTCGAGGGGTTCTGTGCCGAATGGCACATTACTCACAGCCGGGTAGCTGTGTGCTACCCTCAAGCAAATGGCCAGGTGGAAAATGCCAACCGCACCATCGTGGGCGGCCTGAAAAAGAAACTGGAATCCGCAGGGGGAGCGTGGGTGGAGGAGCTCGACGCCATTCTTTGGGCCTACCGCACCACCCCCGGAGGGCTACTGGGGAGACACCTTTTTCCTTAGCCTACGGTTTCGAAGCCCGAGCTCCAGCGGAGGTAGTCATACCTTCCCGGCGGGAGGAGGACTACGACCCTGACACGAACGAGGAGCACCATAGAATTGACCTCCACATGATTGATGACAGGCGCGAAGCAGCCGCGATTCGAGCTGAAAACTACCAGAGCAGACCAAGGCGTATCACGATAAGCGGGTCCGACCCCGCTATTTCCAAGTAGGTGACTATGTGCTCAGGAGAAGGGAGGCGAGCCAGCCCCAAGCCGGAGGAAAGTTTGCCCCTAATTGGAGGGCCCGTACATTATAGCCGCCGTGGTCCGCCCGGGCAGCTACAAGCTCAAAACTCCCAAAGGAAAGATGATAGCCAGGGTCTGGAACTCAGAGCACCTGCTGAAATTTTACCAGTAGACCTACCACGTGAGAGGTGGGTCTTGGCGTTACTATTCTAGGAGGGAGACCATTCCCCTCCCCTAATAATGTCTTAGTGAGCGGCAATAGTCGGAATAAAATCGCATATTACAGAACACATTGTGCGCAGGATCCCTTTTGTTACTATTCTAGGAGGGAGACCCTCCAAGTCAAGAGGAACGGTGCCGGACGGGAGGGGGTTCTCAGCAACGTATCGATCAAGGGCAGCCAGGTCTATGGGCTCCTCTAGCGTCCGGTTCCCGCCCGTCAGCGTGGGGAATCAAGAGCGGTCAGATCAGGGCTAGGCTCATCCGGGTTGGGCTCTACCTCCGGCAGACCCCTGCTCACAGGGTCGAAGGTGCTGTCCTGCTCACGGAGGACGCGATAAATCTGCTCCTGCATCGTATATTGTCCGGCCTCGTACGATGAATAACTCTCAGTAGCCACTCGGCGTTGACCCTCATCGGAGACCAACCACTCCTCCACCAGCTCGGCCATGTGATCACGGGCATACGACATGGCTCTAGTCCTGAAATCCTCGGACGCCAAGAAGGTGGGCACAGCTCGGGAGAGCTCCCCACGTAGCCCCTCCACCTCGACCTGTCGCTCTCTACGTAGCCCTCCACCTCGACCTGTCGCTCTCTACGTAACCTCTCCAGCTCAGTCTGGTGGACCGCCTAGCGACCTCCATAGCATGGGTGAGCGCACCCACCCGCAATTGGAGGCCTCATAAGCATTGGCAAGCAGTAGCCAACGCTGCACAGCCTGCAAACAGACAGAGTAAGGGAAACAATCTCGAGCCTATCGAATAGAAGTAGAACAAGGAATATTTTACCTCATAGGCGTAAGTAGCAGCATCCTCCACCTGGAAGGACGCCACACCAGGAGCGGTAGCAGCAACTACGGGCTGGAGCACAGCACGAGCGTGGGCGCGGTCCACGGAACTGCGCGCGGGACACACGCGCGGTGGGGCCGAAGGAGGAGGGAGAGGGGGGCGAGGAGCAATGAGAGGGCCGGTGGGGCCACCTCGGGACCAGTACGCTGCCCAGAGGTGGGAGCCTGGGCGGCGCGGCTCGTACCTCCCCCGCAGTCCTGCGTCTCTTGGACGCCCGAATCTCCTCCAGAAGCTGCACCCGGCGGGCGGCATAGTACCTGCTCTACCTGTCAACAGTCGCACAAGTAAGGTTATATAAGGCGCATTTAAAAGTAAATCAAATGTGTACAAAGGAAGAAGATAAGCAGGGATTAATGAATATGGACCTCCCGGGACGGCAATGGACAGCGTCAACTCGCTCTCGGACAAGGACGCCGGCGAATCCACATGAGAGGGCGCTGCAGCAGCCGAATTGAGGGGGTCGGCCTCGGGCGTAGGGGCACGAAGAATCTCGAAGGCAAGCTCCCCCGAGCTCTCCGAGTCCTCCTCATCCCCGGACGGCGTATCCACCGAGATGGGGTCGGGGCCGGGGCTGCGACCGGGATCGGAGACATCATCACGGCCTTGATCAGGATCAGAAACATCATCACGGCGGACCGGAGGCGGGGGCGGCAGCGAAGTACCCGGAGTGAAGCCCAGGCGCACCATGTTCTCCTCGGTCAGCAGGGGCGCTATATAGATACGAGGACCCGGGTGGCGGAATGCATGCACGTCCCTCATCAGATCCTCATTCTCCCGGGGGTCACGTGTTTTCGGAAGCGGGTATTCCACGAGAACGCAAAGGGCAGCTCGGGACCCACAGAGACATAAACAAATATGGGTTTCCACTGGTGGTTTGAGGATTGGATGTCCTGGATAATCTTCATGTGTGGGCGAGCCGAGAAAGCCACCCAACCCTTGCTCAAGCGGCCCGAAGAGACAGTGACGTGAAAGAGGAAATTGAACAAATCAAGATAAGGCTCGACCCGGATCTCCTGACACCTCAAGAGGAAGGCCAGAATCACATAATGAGAGTTCGGAACTAACTGACCCGGACCAATCTCGTAGAAGTTGAGAAGGTCCACAGTGAAAGGATGGATAGGAAAACGAAACCCGTTTAAAAGAGATAAGACATGAAGGCCAAAATGATGGCGACTCGGGGGCTCCGTAACATTATCACCAGCAGAGGGCTCCACCACCTCAACACCCGGCCCAGCAGCTCTCACGGCCCTGTCCAACTGACCGCGTGAGAGGTCGACAAGGGTAGTACGTGGAGTGTCCTGCCCCAGAGAGGTGTACTCTACCGGCTCGGGGTCGGTAGCGGGCTCGATGCGGTGGGGGTGGCCGGGCCCGGGGAGCCCGTGGAGGTCGGTAGCCTCGTTGCCAGGGGAAGGAAAGCCGTTGACAGAGTTGTTGGGGTCACCCATATCGACCTCACTGTCACTAATGAAGTCTAACACGTTTAGATCAAAGTTGAAGGACATACAAGGAAGGCGGACCAAGAAGGGGGAGGTACGTGCACCCGAGATGGAGGAGCACAAGGTAGGAGAACCAAAAAGGGGGAGGTACGTGCACCCGGAACGGAGGAGCACAAAGTAGGGGGACCAAAGGAGTGGAGGTGCGTGCACCCCAAGGGGGGGTCGGCCGGACCCGGAAAGGGGGGGGGTCGGCCGGACCTTCACCGGTGGCCGTGGGCAGCAGGTCGGTGCTGCTCGACCGGAGGACGGCGGCGAGCTGGCCGGAAAAAAAAAAAAAAAATTCTGCGCAGGAATGGGTGAAAGGAAAGAGGAAAGAGGAGGAACTAACCGACCGCGGAGCAAAAACTTGACTTGAAAACCCGGGAGAGCACTTGTGACTTGAGGAGAATTTGGGAGGATTTTTGCTAGTGAGGGAGAATGGTGTGAGAAAAATGTGAAGGGAATGGGGGTCTTTATAGATTGTTGGGAAGAGAGAGAGGGGATAAGGTTTGACCAATTTTGAGATTCAAAAAAGGGATGGGGAAGAGAGAGAATTTATGGGGATAAGGGATGAAAAGTTGTTTGGATTTATTAGGGGAGATTTCCAAGACTTTATAGGGAAATGTGCACCTTTGTAGGGATTCTAACTTATCTGAAGAGATTTTTTACGGAGCAAGAATTCTATCCGCGATATAATTCTTGGAGGGGGTCGGCTAAATTTTGGAGCTCGGAATTTTCCACTCAGGGGGCTCGGGTCGGCGTACGGATACTCTCATTCGTTGACTTCCACTCGCAACGAAGAGAGTGGGGGACTCATGATGGATATATTATACCCACGACCCGACCCGGGGTAGCAACATGGACCCGGAGCACCTTGGTGGAGCCCAAGAGCAGCACGGACCCGGGGGACCACGGAGGTGCCCAAGAGCAGCACGGACCCGGGGGACCACGGAGGTGCCCAAGAGCAACACGGACCCGGGGGACCACGGGGGTGCCCAAGAGCAACGCGGACCCGGAGCACCATGGAGGTGCCCCGACCCGAGCCGACCTACGTGGAGCTCGGTCCTACCCGAGCTCGGCAACACCCGGGCTCGGGACCCGACCCGACCCGGTCCACCCGGGCCCGGTCAAACTTGAGATCTAACCACCCCCGATTTAAGGGGAGGTGGTTGGGGGGTTTGCTTGTATAAAAACCCCCCTCCATGTCCTAACAAGGGGCAATTCAATCCACATTATACGATTATTACACACTTTTGTCCTACGGAATCTTTGTAATAGCCAAATACTACGGCAATTAATATAATATACGGTCCACCGCGACCTTTACGACATCGTTCTATATATTTCGTTCATTATTTATTCTTATCCGGATTTATTGATTCGGGCAGACCCTCGGGTTAATTAAATCCATCAATATATATATATATATATATATATATATATATATATATATATATATATATATATATATATATATATATATATATAATGTTAGTTTTTTTTAAATCACAAGTTTAGTTTTTAAAATTAAAAATTATAATAATTTAAAATTTTGACTAAGAATTGATTGGGGATGGGGAATCCCCGTCCCCGCCTAATTCCCCGTGGGGGCGGGGATGGGGACTATTTTCAAATCCCCGCCGGGAACGGGGACGGGGACGGGGACGGGGTCGGGGTTTCGGGGACGGGGACGGGGAGTATACTCCCCGCCCCCGCCCCGCCCCATTGCCATCCCTAATTTGAACTTTTTTTTAGTTAATTTTATTTTGAGTTAATACCAAAAATGTCATCGACTTATAGTGGTTTTTCTCAATTTCGTCCTAAACGACTTTGGTGACCTAATATCGTCCCAGACTTTTGTGTTTCGCTCAATTTAGTCCTCCATTTGTTATTCCGTCAAATTGGTGTTAAATAAAGGGACAATTCACTAATGTCAATATTGATCTCTCTTTACTTTCAACTTGTGAAGTGCGAAATTCCTCTTTCTTGTACAAATTACACCCAGAATTACTCCCGGACCTGCAAATCAAATTTTATATTCGCAGTTTTAGGAGTAATTCTGGGAGTAATTCGTAAAAAAAAAAAAAGGGATTTCGCAGTTCACATGTCTATGAGTAAAGAGATGCCAATATTAAAATTACTGAATTGTCTATTTATTTAACACCAAATGGACAGAATAACAAATGAGGGACTAAATTGAGCAAAAACACAAAAGTCTGGGACTAAATTGAGCGAAACACAAAAGTCTGAGACGATATTAGGTCACCAAAGTCGTTTAGGACGAAATTGAGAAAAACCAATATAGTCGAGGACGATTTTGGGTATTAACTCATTTTATTTTCTATTTTTAAAATAGTTCAAATTCAACAATTAAGTTTTTTTTTTCTTTTTTTTTATATTTTTTTTTTATTCAAAATCAGAACTGACAAGTTTGGAATCCATGATGTTAATAAATTGGAACCGGTTTTGATTTGGTTGGTATAGTGTCTGGTTAAGTTCGAACCAATCAATTTGAATCGAACTGTGGTCATCCCTGGTTATTAGAATCGGAAAGGTTGTGTATGTCTGTATGGTATGTTGAGATTTTAATTTTAAAAAATCTCATCACTTAAATTAAATTCGATAATAGTATAATTAATCTTGGTTTTAAGAACTAAAAAGAAAAAATAAAAGTAACAAATTGTAAATGATACAATGTTATTACCTTCAAATCAATAGAAAAGAATGTCATCCAAGTTATAGAGGCAAAGCCTCCATGTATAGGTTATTACAAACTCTAGTTCAATTATGACAATTTCTCTTAAATTTTAGGGTAGTTGCCTTTGTCTCCAACTAAGCATATGGATTTTTAATCAGATTTCCTTTCTCTTTACCAATTAGGATACATCTTCCCACTAAGTCAAATGACTCCCTTAAACTAGATCTCTTATCTTTAGGTCAAGCTCAAAACTCGTTATTCTATTATTGCTCCACCTATTCACTTGTTTCGTTTAGACCGGTCCATGGCTCAAGCATGGGACCTATGTCCTAACAAATATAATTATGAATTAATCAAAACCATAATACTCGAGAAAGACAAAAAAAAAAAAAAAAAAAAAAAAAAAAAAAAAAAAAAACCCTCAAGAATTTGAAGCAATTGATTTGATAAGCATATTGCTAATACAACTGTAAATTAAAGTCGAAGGATTAACTCTTGTAGACAAATTTTTTACCTAGCTCTCACTTTATATCGTGTCAATCTAGTTGTGGCATAGAACTCCGCCAAACTTTTGTGAATAGGTTGGATTATACATAGGTAAATATTGCAATGGCCCAGTTGCCTATAAGCATTCAACGATCTCTTAAATAACTTCCTTATTTTCTGCTTGGTCAACAAAAACTCTCATGTCAACCAACTTGTTATTCCCTCATACCTAGAAAATATAAAAAAAAAAAAAAAAAAAAAAAAACAAGAGCTTTGAGTACGCGCTGGGTTAGAGAAATCAACTACACATCAAACCCTTACACCTCGATTTAAAGATAAGTAAAACAAAAAAGATAGCAATATAGAAAGGAAACTCAAGCACACAAGTACTACACACCACTCATGTATTATTCATTGACACATAATCTCACAAATCTTTTTCTCTTGAGTGTTTGTGACTAGTTGGTAACAAATTTGTAAACAAGCTCAAATGGTAATTTTTTGTTTGTTTGTTTTTGTTTGTTTGTTTGTTTGTTTTTTTTTTTTTTTTTTTTTTTTCTTTTTTCTTTTTTAACTAGATTGACATCAATAACATTTACACAAAAACTACATCTATTAGTTTAATGTACAATCTAATTATTTTAATATCAATTTTAATATAATCAATTAATTATGCCACTTCAAGACAACAACGGAAATTGAGTTTGGGGTTATACCTGCTATCTCGGTGAAGGTTCAGTCTTGGAGGCTGAAGCATGGAGCATTCTCAAAGGTTTGAAGCTCGCCTGGGACCATGGCCTTCGACGTGTGATTGTTGAAAGTGATGCGAAAAAGATTGTTGACTGGATTGTGGTTAACGATGGTCGGGACCCGCCTATAGGAAACTTAGGTAGGTAAACTTCTGGGGGGATGCGGAGCAATAGGTCAACACTTGATAGGTAGAAGATGGGAAGTGCGGGTGGAGAACGTGCTTAGGGGGCAGAATACAGTGGCGGATTGTTTGGCCAAAAGAGCCCTTGGTGGTAATCGGGGTCTTTGATTTTTTGCCTCGGCTGGAGACTGAGCTCTCCAATATGCTCATTGACGATTCCATGGGTGTACCTCGGCTACGTGATGCGAGTTGTACAAACTAGTCGGGGTTTCCCCCTCCTACTGATACAAAAAAAAAAAAAAAAAAAAAATTATGCCACTTCCACAAGATTTGTATATGTAGCTTCAGTATTGTAAAATCATGTTCTTTCATGATTTGATTAAAAAATAAATAAATAAAAAGAAGAAGAGAAAATGATACTTTTTGTCTTTCGTTCTTAAATTTTATTAGAATTGGATTTTTTTTTAAAAAAAAAAAAAAGAAAAAGAACTCCACTAATACTTGAGCAAAGAAAAAAGTTATATGTTCCGAAAGGAGTGACCAAATGGGTGGATCAGAGCATGATTTTTCAATACTTTTTTGTCCGGCGGGCTTGTTTCACAAGATCTTTCTAATACTATTTACCTCTTCGGTGTGGTTTGCTATCAATTAAACAAAGTGAGGTTTACCAAGTGTATACCCCTTAAGTAGTGAAGCTACCTTACAAATAATTAATGGATGAAAAGTGACGACCTTATAAGTGATAAACAAAAATGAATATTACCTTATAAGAGAAAATAACACTTTTCTCCCTAATTTATAGGCTTATAGTACTTTTTTTTTCCTAAGTTATTCATGTATCCACATTTGTCCCCTTAGTTATGTTAAAAGTGGCGATTTTCTCCTTTTTATATTAGTTGGACATTTTTACCATTAAAATGAGTATTTCATTTATTTTTTTCTTCAACAAATTATTGCTTATATGTAGGGATGAGTACTGTTCGATTCAAACCTAATCGGACATTGTAAGTTTGTAACAATCGAAAATTGAAACAGTAGAGACGGTTTTGGTTACGACTCATAATCGAAATAAAATAAAATAAAATAATTGTTGAGTTTAAGCTATTTTAAAATAAGAAATATAATTTATAAAAATAAATAAATAAATAAATTTTGAATCGGTGGTTCATAACCGAAACTGGAACCAAACCGAACTTATTTATCATTTAGCAATAGTGTTTGATCATTTTCACATTTATTCTAATTCCACATATAAGTAGATATGATTGCAGTTCGGTTCCAGTTCACGGTTATGAGAAATGATAATTGGAACGAGAACCTTTTAGGAAAGTTCCAGTTTCGATTTGAACCGCCAATTCGGTTCTGGTTCACGGTTCTTGAAAATGATAAATCGGAACAGGAACCTTTTAGGATGGTTCCAATTTCGGTTTGACCGCCAGTTCAAAATTTATTTATTTATTTTAAATAGTTTAAATTCAACAATTATTTTATTTTATTTTTTCCTGTATGTTCTGAATCGTAACTAGAACCGTCCTTATTGTTTCGGTTCAATTTCTACAGTGTGCAATTAGATTCGAACCGTGATCATCAATACACATAAGTAATAATTTGTTAGAGAAGAAAAATAATAAAATATTTATTTTTAAGGGTAAAAATGTCCTTCTAACATAAAATAAGAGAAAACCGTCACTTTTAACATAACAGAAAAGACAAATATAAATATATAGATATATATGAATATGAATAACTTAAGAAAGGGAAAAATACTTACTATAAGGGGATGTTTGGTTCATAGAAAATGTTTTCCAAAGGAAAACATTTTCTTTAAAGTGGAGGAAAATGTTGTTTTCTTGTGTTTGGTTCATGGAATTCATTTTCTATTGGAAAATGAATTTTTCAAATTTGAGGAAAACAAAATTCTTGGTTGGACCAAAGATTTTGTTTTCCATGAAAGATGGGAAGAAAAAGTGAGATAAAATGCCTATTTTACTATTGTTTACTTTTTTTAATTATATTACTTTTATTAATTTGTAAGGGCATATAGGTCTTTATACTCGTTGTTCCTTACAATTTCAAATCTAACCAAACAATAAAACTAGTATTCTCCGTAATTCTTTTTCCACAAACCAAACAATGAAATTCAACTTTCTAATAATTGTTTTTCATAGAATTTCAATTTCACTTCCCTTAAAATATTTTTCGCGAACCAAACGATCCCTAAGCATATAACTTGAGGTCATTTTCCCTCCTTATAATAGAAATCAAATGTGTCTATCTAATTTCCCTAAATAAAAGAGAAATGTTTTTCTTATAAATTGTAACACCCCTTACAAATTAAAATCATACAAAAATGATTAATTCCTAATAAGAAATCAAATGTGTCATTTTCCTAGACTAAACAAAAAAGTAATTCTTCCTTGTAAATTAAAATCATCGTATTCATCCTCTTCTCCACCCTCCAGACTCAAAATCAGTAGTCAGTAGATGAGTCAACTCACTATTCACACATCTCTTCCCTTTCCATTGACAAGAACCGCTAATCCAGAACCTCCCACTTGTTCTTTTTCATCTACTACTACTAGCCTCAGAGACAAAATTCCCCAAATTGCATTTTCTTCTCCTCAAATTTCACAACTTTGGACCGCTTCAGAGCTCGCGGAGGCCGTCAATGGTAGAATCTTGCAATGGGGGCCTCCGGGACCAATCTCTACCGACACCCGAACTCTCAAACCGGGCCAGTGGTTCCTCCCACTCGTGGGCCCCAACTTCGATGCCAACACCTTCATTTCGCCTCAACTCTCCGCCCAGGGATGCGCCGGGGTGATTGCGAACCGGGTTTGCGAGAATTGGGACAAGGGTTTTGTGCAGGTGGGTGGAAATACTAGGGATTCTCTTAGAAGCCTGGGAATGTACGCAAGAAATAGATTCAAGGGTTGTTTGATTGGCATAACTGGGAGTGTGGGAAAAACCACCACTCGCGCTATGGCGGCATTGGCTTTAAAAACCATGGGAACTGTTTATCAGAGTCCGGAGAATTGGAACAATGAAATTGGGGTTGCACTATCCCTGATTGGAATGCCCTGGGGTTCAGGGTTTGGAGTGTTGGAGCTTGGGATGAGTGGTAAAGGAGAGATCTTGGAGCTTGCCCGGATTTGCAGGCCGAATATCAGAGTGATTTTGAATGTGGGTGCTGCACATTTGGAGAAGTTTGGGAATTTGGAGGATGTTTCAGTGGCAAAAGGGGAGATTTTGAGAGAGGCAAAGATGGGAGATGTTTGTGTTCTAAATGCAGATGATCCTCTTGTTATGAACCTTCCAGTCCCTGTGGGCATTAAGAAGGTCAGCAATGAATTCCATTATTCTTTGCTCTTGTAATTAGCCTACAAAGTATTACTAATTTGAATCAAAGTTTTTTGGTCAGACCATAGCAGGCTCTAACTATAGGAGTCACGTTTAAGCCCGTACCATACCCAGACTAATCCTCATTCGTACTGGACAGGCCCAATTAAGGGGCAAAGTGCTGGCCAGATTAGTTTTTCCATACGAGAGGGGTTCGAACTCCCGACCTCTCTTAAGAGATGAGAGATGAGAGTGCACGGCCACTCACGCCAACTAAACTGGTTAATTTGAATCAAGTTTGATACAGTATCTTTTTTCCATATATTATGGCATATGAGACATTTGGGTCTGTTTGGTTGTGTCTATAGCTTATTTTAAACTATAAATAAGTTAAGTTATGAGTTCTGTTTGGTAAAACATAAAGAGCTCAAAATAATAGCGATACTCAAGGAATTAGCCTGCCATTTTGATTTAATAAAGTATTACTAATTTGAATCAAGTTTGATATCTTTTATTTCCATATATTATTGCATCTGAGACATTATATATAAAGGACTCAGCCTCTATTTTAGCACTATGTGCCCTCCAACAAGGCTTTTAACTGATATTCTGGACAAAATATGCTTCTAATAACGTAATTTATAGCATATTGATATTCAGCCTTATCCTGTTAAATTGCAATGGTAATCACAACTTATGTGAAATGTTGAACTTTGCCATTGAAAGAGGCGTTTGATTCACGGAATGTTAGATTACCTTAGACTACGGCTTAGGGAGTGTTAGATTCCTGGGAATGTTTGATTACTTAGAATGTTAGATTCTTGTGTTTGGTTTAAATTGAGGTATGTAATATAAACTTGTTTTGTTTAAGGATTATCTTGTGCTCAGAAGGCATGTAGTGGCTCTCCCATATGGGAGGTCACGTTGAGAAAGTATGTATGAACAGATACTACAATGTAATAGTCAGTAGTACTAAAAAAAAATGTTATAAAATTTTTTTTTTTTAACTTACCCTTAACATATTTTTATGTATTTCAATAAACTTTAAAATTAAACTAAACCTAAGAATTGTGAGGAAATCACATTCCCTTTAGAGTTCAAAGTCCAATGTGGAGGGTATGTTGCATTCCTTGGAGAATGTTATATTCCCTTTGGAAAGTAAGATAACCTGAACCAAACATAAAATGTAAGCTTTGGATTGTCACATTCTTTTGGTTATGTTGTATAACTTGAACCAAACACCCCCTTAAAGGTCATATGCTCCTTGCTTTAATACGATTCCCTTTCTTCTTTTGAGCATCAGTTTTGGCTCTGCTTATTCTGAAGCAGGGAATTCTTATAGGTCCTTGAACTATAAATTTAGTAATATGATTATATTATTGGCTGAGAAATGGAGAGACATTGAAAAATAATTAATGACTCACTTATAGTTGAAGTGTGTAGAATGAATATTTAGCTGAAGCTTTCTTGCATACTTAACAGAGTAATTCTTTTTGCTTCTTCCTTAAAGGTACTATTTGGTCGAAAAATGGGCTGTGATGTTCGGTTAGTTTCGTCACATATGATAGATGGTGGTCAGAGAGTACAAATTGTATTAGAGAAAAACGATGAGATGTAAGTTCTTCAGCATTTTCAGAACTCCTTTTTATTATGTTTGGTGGTGTTGAGTCAACGAGTTATGGGGTTGATGAATTTGAGTTCCTTCTCAAGAAATTACGGAGTAAAAAATTCATGACATCAAATAGGTAAAAGAAAGAACTCGTAAAATTTCACAACTATGAAGATTTTCTTTTGTGTTCTTAGCTACAAAGTCTACAACTATCTTTATGTGTTGAGCATATAGGCCCTATTTGGTAAAATTGCTGTTAGTTGATTGTGTTAATTAGAGGGTACAAATAGTTGACAACATTAGCTGATTGTAGAAAAGTGTGGTAAAGCTGTTTGGTATAATTTCTTTTCTCAAAAAGCTAATTGAAAAAGTTGTTTGAAGTAGCTTTTTGAATTTTAGCCTTTTGAAGTTGCAAAAAGCTAATTAACCAAACATTTATATTGATATTTTAACTAAATTAAACAATTAATAGTGGTCAAATAAGCCAAAATTGGCCAATAGGCCAATATTTTACCAAACAGAGCCATAATATATATGTGCAATTCAACTATCACCTTAGGTTTTTAATTGAGATGCAACACATGCTTCAATTCGGTATCAGAGCCAATCCCATGCCAAACCGAGACTAAGGTCCAACTGGCTTTTAGTTGAGATAGAGCACAGACTTCGATGTTATTATAATATTTCGGTGTAGAAGTATGGGATGACACTAAAATGTCTTTATTGGCATATGCAGGGTTGAATTTGTTGTTTCAGGTCCAGGCCTGCATTTGGCCCAGAATGCATGTGCAGCTGCAGCAGTGGCCAGTTTCTTGGGTGCCCCTCTTGCCCAAGTGGGAAATGCCTTATCTAATTTCATGCCCATTGCCAGGAGGTCAGAACTCGAAGTTGCAAAAAATGGCGTGAAGATTATAAACGATGTTTACAACGCAAATCCGGTTAGCACGAGAGCCGCCATCGACTTGTTAAGCGGCATTCACTGCGAAGGTAAAAAAGTTGCCATACTAGGAGACATGCTTGAACTCGGGCCAAAAGAGATAACTTTCCACGAAATGGTTATAAAGCATTGTTATGAAGCCCGTTTCGATTTGGTTGCACTTGTTGGAAGGAGGTTCGAGATAGCAGCCGAGAATTTTAGCAGTTCTCGGGGGCTAAATGTGTTGCATGCTATGAACGCTCAAGAGCTCGCCTCTGAGATTGTCGGCCTCTTAAATTGCGACGACGTTGTTCTTGTGAAGGGTAGCCGCGGAATGCAAATGGAGGTAATTGTTGAAGCCATCAAGTGTATACAGATTGGGTTCCGGTCTTAAGCCGCGGCGAAATGATGTGTGTGTATGAGACGGATCAAGTGAGAACCAAGTGTTTGGGAGAAAACTGAAAACCAATCATAGTCGCCCACGTGTTTAGATTTAACGGATAAAAAATATTATTTTTTAAATGTGGTGGCATTTTTGTAAATAATTAAACTTTGAAATGCAAGTAAAGGGTGTTAAAAGTGCAAGTAGTTGTTTCATATAGTGCACTTAAGTGCAAATAAAATGTATTAAAAGTGCAAGTAAAATGTGTTAAAAGTGCAACAAATAATGTACACTGAGCATCAATATTAAGTGCATATAATGTTATCATTAGTTGCACCAAACGTTATCTTTAAGTGTACTAATGTTGAAGACGTTATTATTAGGTGCACCAATGTTAAAACGGTAAATTATATTACTTGCAATATTTAGAAAAAATAGTTGCACTTTTAAGTAATTTTATTACTTGCACTTTTTATTGGCACACTTGCACCAGTTACTTGAACTTTAAACACATGTTACTTGCACCAAAATTTGAGTTATTTACGTAAATGTCACCGTATCGTTTTTTAAAATTGCATATGATTTATTAAATCTGAATATGTAAACGGATGAAATTGATTCTTAATTCTTTCCTAGACATCAGTTTACACACACATATTAATCACCAAATCAGCACAAAATCCACACATTCATATTTATGTACTGTGAATCAAAATTTTCAAAATGTAATATCTTTCATTTTTTTTTAAAAATAGTCATTTTATTAAAATCAAAAGAGATTCAAAGCCTCACATCAAACACGCCGAAAAGCAATTGTTATGCTGTGAGCACGTGCCTACCTTACATGGTGCGCACGAATCTATATCCATAATTTCTATACAGTAGATACATAATTTCTAGATTTTCGGTGAACTAAAATTTATATTTTAGATTAATAATTTCTAAAATCGTAGGATCCATAATTTTTTTTTTTTTTGAAAATCGTAGGATCCATAATTTAAATACATTAGATCCATAATTTCTATACTGCACTGATTTGTGAAAACATGGTTCAACAATTGAAATCTAAAATATAAATTTTAGTTCACCAAGATTCTAGAAATTATGAATCTACAGTATAAAAATTATGCATATAGATTCTTGCGCACCATATGCATGGTGGGCACGTGCTCACAACATAATTTGTCGCCGAAAAGTGGCCAACTAGACAAAGAGGCAAAATGCCGTAAATGCTATCAAGGCCCAAAAGTCATCTAGAATCCAAAAAGGCCAAAAAGCCTTAACCCCGCAAATTATTCTGTGGACCCGAATCTAAATGTTCACAATTACTTTTTAAAAATTCACAATTTGTATATACTGCAAACACACAATTACCTTGTATTATATTCACAAGTTTCTTTCAAATACTGCAGTCACACAATATTAACATATTAAGATTTGATGACCATGTATTGTATTCACAAATTTCCTTTTATAGCCGTTATATGTTTTTACTTAGAAACACAAATTATATTCTAAAAGCTCACAATTCCAATACTAAAAATACACACTTTATATGTCATTTAGGACCAGAGTTCACCTTGCAAGGTGGACCAACAAGTGGATCCTGGTCCATAATATAAGTATTGATGATATAGCTTAGTTGCTCACTGTTTCTTTTGGGAATTGGGCCTCCTTAGAGGCAGAAAATACTCCGTAATTTTTAGGCAAATTATGCTGTAGAACCGTGTCTGTCTTGCAAGGTTGTAGAACTGTATCTGCCTTACAAGGTGACACGGTTTCAAAACTGTCATAATTGTGAATATAAAATTCAAAAATTATGAACATAGAGTTCTATAATTATGAACATAGAGTTATGAACATAGAATTCTATAATTATGAACATAGAGTTCTGTAATTGTCAACATAGAGTTCAATAATTGTGAATATGAAGTTCAAAAATTATGATTATAGAGTTTTATAATTATGAACACATAGTTCAGTAATTATGAATATAGAGTTCTGTAATTGTAAATATAGAATTCAATAATTGTGAATATAAAGTTCAAAAATTATGAATATAGAATTCAGTAATTATGAACATAGAACCGTGTCCACCTTGCAAGGTGGACACGATTCCACGGAATACGGCAAGCCAATGTTACACAAAAACCGACAAATTATTGTATGGACCACGGTCCACACAATTGTGTTGACCATGAATATCAGGTACATTTTTAATATATTAAAAGTAAATTATTTTTGTACTTAAGGTACAATATTTATGTACTGAAAGTACATTATATAAAATAATGTACCCTTAATATATTAAAAATGTACTTTCAAAATTTGTACCTTACGTACATAAATAATGTACCTTTAATATATTAAAAATGTATTTTTTAGTTATAGTCCATACAATTGTGTGGGCCATGGTCCATGCAATAATGATCGACAAAAAACGAATTGGGCCTAAAATTGTTACTCAGTGCTTCGTTTAACGGGCTTGAAGAACCCCAAACTTTTGAATTTTAGATCACCATCACGCTAAACACCTAAAGATGAGTAGTAAACTTGTTGAGATTGATGGTAGCTTTTGGTTTAAACATTTTGAGGATAAATAATTAATCATAGACTTGTAGGTATAACTACTCTAGATTATAATGAGATGTAATTTGCAAAGTTATATTTTGTACTTTGACAAAAGTACAATATATAAGGAGATAGTACAACTTGCAAAGTATAATGTATAATTTTATAAAAGACAATATTGAAGGGCTCCTTGTACGCAGTAAATAAAAGTTTAGCCTCTATGTTCAACTGAGTTACTATGATTTACATCCTCTTTTATGCTCTGTCGGGTCGGGATGTGGAGGGACTTTGAGATTGGGGATTCAATCTTTTAGGAAGAAGAATAAAAGACAATATTGTAAAATATTTTAAATGGAGATTGTTTCAACTCATTATCTTTTTTTTTTTTTTTTTTTATAAAAAAATTATATATGAAAATTAATTTAATTTTCTACCGACCAATGTACTATAAAGATTTCGATAATAATGTGTGTTTAATTTCACTTCAATAAAAAAACATTTAGTGTGAACTTAATTAAGAATTGCACAACACTCACTTGAACCCTATGAACCATGCTCTTTAGGCCGGCTCATACTCTCTAGGCCACGAGGAGAGAAATCGAGAGACTCGGTCAGCTTCGGGTCCCCAACACTACTATACATCTTGTACATTTCTATGTACGAAGAGACTCTATATTGATTTGTAGTATAAAATAATTGAAAATCTAATTCAATAAAATTGTAGCTCAAATATTTTTCATAAATTAATGCCACTTATATTATTGGAGAAAAAGAAAATTAAAACAATTGTCAATTTTCACAGCCATCTTAATTTAAGGCATTCAAAAGAAAATTCGACTTCAAAATTCAAAAGATATAAATAAGTTCTAATCATTCAAATGTGTCCAAACTCGTTTGGTGCAATTTCAATTGAAAGCACCAATTTTGTTTTTTGTCAAATGACCACCGTACCAAAAAATGTTTCTAACCAAACAGATGAAGACAATTAGCCCGGTAGGAAAAGGGTCCTCTTGTAAAAAGTGAGGATTAACTAATATTTAGCAATGGTTGCAAATTTTAATAAAATAAAAAATCTTAGCCTTTGATTTTTCAAGATGAAAGGTGTGGATGTATCCAAACCTTTTACAGGAGAGAAATGTTGTCACTTGAACGGTCATATATATATATATATATATATATATATATATATATATATATATATATATATATATCCATAATCAAGTGAGAACCAATATTAACCTGCAAATTGTGAAAGATTGCAACATACTTACTACATGATTGCACCACACCTGAATACGATTGACTGCAAGGTCCTCCAGGCATGTCTTGGAGCCATAACAGTGCAATCCTTCAGTTCGAAGGCTAAGATTGGTTCTCACCTTATATATATATATATATATATATATATATATATATATATATATATATATATATATATATATATATATATATATATATATATATATATATATATATATATATATTATGGTTCCAATGAAAACACTTGTTTAGGTGAGAACGTAAGAACAAATTGTGTGTATCAATATAATATTTTTTAATGGTCTAGATTAGATTAAGTGTGTGCGAATGCGAATTAAATGTGTGTAAAAGTGATTAAGTGTGTTTGCACACATTTAATTTGCGTTCGCACACACTTAATCTAATCTAGACTATTAAAAAATATTAAGGCTGTGTTTGGAAACCCGGAAAATGACTTCTGGAAGTCATTTTCCGGGTTTTTGGTGTTTGGCTACACCTGGAAAATCCAGTCAACGGAAAACATTTTCCGTTGACTGGGGAAAATGAGCCCAATTTGACGGAAAATGACTTCCGCCAAATTTGGGCGGAAGTCATTTTCCGCCTCTTCTCTTTTTCTTTTTTTTTTCTTTTTTTTTTTTTAAAAAATTCTGGCGGAACTGGGTTCCGCCAAAAACCATAGGGTATGGTTTCTGGTGGAAACCAGTTCCGCCGGAAGCCATAATATATATATATATATATATATATATATATATATATATATATATATATATATATATATATTGTTTTAAAGATTTAAAAATGAATTTTTAATTCAGAATAAAATAATTAAAATATTTAATTATACCATTCTACTCATTTTCTAGAAAATGAACCAAACACACCAAAACAGTTTTCCAAATGCAACCAAACACTGAAAAAGGAAAATGTTTTCCGGAAAATGACTCATTTTCTAGAAATCATTTTCCAGAAGTCATTTTCCTGCTTTCCAAACGGACGCTAAATGAATACACACGATTTGTTCTCACGTTCTCACTTAAACAAGTGTTCTCATTGGAACCATACTATATATATATATATATATATATATATATATATATATATATATATAGGGAAGGGTTCATGTGCAGGTATAGCTTCCCGTGCTGTTGTGCGATTAGATTTGAGCCGTTGATCAAATCTAGATCAACGGCTCAAATTAATAATTTTTTTTTTTAAAAAAAAAACGTGTGTCTGGAAGAAAGCCAAGCACCTTTAAGTGTTAGATCTTAAGCACAAACTCACGCACATTAAGTACAAAACCCACGCACATTAAGCACAATATCATGCACATTATGCACAAAACCCAC